CCATTATCAAAATTAAAATTAGACGTATTACAACGAGTATGTACAAAATAAAATAAAAGCTTTTTAATTCCATTTAAAAAATACATTTCTTTTCAACTTTTAGGCTTCAAGTGCTGAACCCATGATGACTCGAGAATTGACAAGTGTACGTGACTATTTGTGAATATTTTTGTCATTTTTTGTTTTTTTTTTCTATTTATTCTGTAGACTCCTATTCGTGATAAACAACAGCAATCAACTATAATTCGAACACTGCCATCTGATGAACGAATCGATCGTACATGTACTTAAAATAGAAATAAATTAAATTTATATGGTATCCATGAGATTATTTTTGTTTTACTTTAGATGATCAAAGCGGTTATATATCTGATGGACCAAGTCATAAATATTCAATCTATAAGAAATTTTCAGCAACCAATTTAGATAAAAATAAATCATCAAGTGCAAAAGGATTGAAAAGTATCTTTGGAAGGTAAAAACCGAAAAAAAACAGCTGATCAAAATTAGATTTAAAAATTATTTTCATGATTTAGAATTATTCGTACTAACTCAGGAAATTTTCGTGAAGATCATGATTCTCAAACACAAACTTCTTTTCATCGCGGTGGTCTACGCGCAACAACCACTAGCGGAAAGACATCTATCAAGCCACTTAGGTAACATAAGACCACATTACGTTCAACACGCTTTCTATTCATAATATTTCGTGATATCTGATCAAGTATAGTTAAGCTATGCAAGCACATCCTACATTGTCTGCTTGATTATATCTTTCGTCTTTCTCATATGTACTTACGAACAACTGAACGAACGATATCATCTCATCGAACTTTTTCTCATCGAAAACTCCTAGATGGTTAATTATCGATTATAATGATTAAGTAAATGAGCATAAAAAACATTTTCCTCAAGTTTTTCTACGTCAACTTTCTACAAAAAATCCAGCCTTCTAGGACAGGCTGATAGAAATATTGGTAAAACCTATTTTAATCTTCTTAGATTAAAGAATATGTCAAAACATTCTATTAGTTAGTAACCTTTTCGACTGATGAGTTTTACGTTAAAATGCTAATGTGTTTTTTTCCTACAATACAACAAATCAACAGAAGCAACAATTGCTACGTTATAAGTTATTCGACAGGTTCTATAGTTGTTGAGAACGATTAAAAGAAATTTTTTTCCTCGAAAAGTTGACAATCATATGAACTGAATGAGATTGTCACGAGATTTTTAAGTCTAATATTTTGAATTGGCACATTCGACAACTTGCACTGCAGTAACTTTCATACGAAAATCAATCTATGAAATCAATTATTTATCTTTTTAATGACATAGAGATAATAAATTTTTTCATCCTCTATAATACATACGTTTACGTGTAGAATCAAATTACTAACCTTAACAGAAATCTTCTTGCCGAAGGTTTTATTCAATGAAAATACAAAACTAACGTTCTTAACGATTCTTTTCGATACAAATAGATGATATGTTGTTTAATCTTTCTTTTAAAATACTGTTGATTTAAAGATTACTGAACCACGGAAGTAAATATTTGAAATCTCTATTTAAGTAGAATCAGTCGTGTCATACCCGTTGAAATAAGTGTTATGATTTGTTTTGAATATATACCAAAATTCGCATTGTTCTTAGATAAGCCTACATTGCTGAACAAAGTTAAATACGATACAACTTAATGAAAAGTCAATACTCCATCATTTATAAACATATAACTAAAACAAATAACGTCGAAGAATTCAGTTCATTTAATAGTACATATTTTTATTTTAGCGCTTTAGAAACAACATTTTCTCGTTGGCAAACAGAACAAGTTGTAAATTGGTTATATGGCATTGGTCTTGGTCAATATGCAACTGAATGTCGTAAGCATTTTAAAAACGGTTTACAACTTTTACATGCAACACCACAAGAATTAGAAAAAGTATGAAGGAAAAATAGGAAAAAAGTTGATTTAACAAATTATCGTTTCTTTTCATACTATTAAAGAAAATAGGCATGCGTAATCCATTACATCGTAAAAAACTTCAATTATGTTTGAATGGTTTATGTACACGACAAACTGAAGCAAATGTTCTTGATGCACATTGGGTTCAAAGTAGTTTATATTCGATCCAAATAGAACATTCATCATTTTAATAATGTCTTTTTATTTTGTTTAAAGAATGGCTTGATGATATTGGTCTGCCACAATACAAAGAATATTTTGCAGAATCCAAAGTTGATGGTCGCTTACTTAACAATTTAACACTCGTAAGAATTGACAAGGGAATATTTTTCTTTATTAATTTTTATTTTATTCTCTGATAGGAAGATATTATTTATTTAAATATAACAAATGAACTGCATCATTTAAGTATAAAACGTGCCATACAAGTTTTACGTTTAAATGGTTTTAATCCAACATGTATCAAACGACGTCCAAGTCCAGATGATAAAAACGATATGACTGAAATCATGCATTGGTCTAATCATCGCGTTATGGAATGGTTACGATCAATTGATTTATCTGAATATGCGCCTAACTTACGTGGATCAGGCGTTTGCGGTGCATTAATTGTAAGAGATCAATACAAAAAATGTTTTCTGTATGAAAGATTGAAAATAAAAATGATCTATTTTTTTCGCATAGATTCTTGAATTACGTTTTAATGCTTCAACATTAGCAGAAATTCTATCTATACCCATGTCAAAAACTTTATTACGCCGACATTTAACAATGCGTTTTCAAGAATTAATTGGTAATGATTTACAAAGTCGTAAAAATCAATATGAAAAATCGCCCAATTATCAATCATTAACACCACATACAAAAATAAAATTTTCACGTGGTTTATTTGCTCATCGACGAACACGTTCAATTGAAGCTGATGATTTAGTTTGCCCAATGAATGAAAATGGCATTCCGAATGGTATATCACCCAGTCTTAAAGTAAGCTATTTGATTATTGTTTTTAGATTTTCGTTTTTTTTTCTTCTTTTATTTGTGTAAAAAAACCTGTTTCATATTATAATTTAGCGTCTTCAACGAAAAGAATCATCGCTGGCTGATACTAATGAGGAAGAAGTGGGTTTTTTCTTGCTGCTCGTTTAAAAAAAATATATTCGACTTGCATGAGTGATTTTGCTTGAGGAGCATGAGAATAATTCTATGCTTTAATATTGGGTTATTGGAATTTAAATTGCGTTTCTTTTTTTTTCTTAATAGAGTTATTATTATTTTTTTTTATCTATTTTAGCTTGTCCTCGCTCACGATAGTCCAACAACGGTTGTCTAGCAAATAGAAGAGTCAAATGTTTTTATTTATGAAGCCAATGGTGCTCGATGTCTAAACAGAAAAATCCGTTTTTTTTGTTGTGTGCCTTCTTTTTCTTTATTTCTATCAATTGTATCTATATCGTAGAATATTGCTTTGAATAAAAACAATTTGTTTCTTCTTTTTTTTTCTATAAATAAATTCAGTAATGTTACTCTTACATTTGTTATGTGATGTCGTTATTTTAACAACAATCAATATAGAAGTTATTCAGTTAGGATATTCTAAAGATAGTAGACGATGATATTTGATTATGATATTTAATATTCGAGAAAATTTTCTCTTTGCCAGTTATCACTGTCGAAATAATATTTCATATTGATCAGATATAATATCATAAAAACAAAATTTCGATTATGCCAAGAAAAAGAACTGTAACGTATACAGTTAGTAAAAGTAGATGAGGGCACATTGAATCATATATTGTAGGCGTTGATATCGTAGTTTTTTTCTAATCTATTTTGTGAAATATTGATCTTTATATCGAAAACAAAAGTGTCAGAATGCAGCATGAAGTCTCATGTGGGGTACTGATAAATTTTGAAAAACAAATTTGAATATATTCCCTTGATGTGATTTCGTAAATCTTCGAGTGTCTGTTCGAAATAATTTGTAATCATTGAAAATTCAGGCTAACTAGTTAAAGAGATAAATGTTTTCTTTTCAAAACTGTTGACTGAAAACTGTAGCAAATTCAGGTCAAACAAAAATTATAACATGCAATTCAAGGTGTTCTAATCTTCTTTTTACAATGGTAAAAGTTGCATGTTTCTATCTTGTTTTAATTTAAATTTCTTCAAACAAATATTCATCCATCTTGTTTTGCTTTGAACTGACTGACACTCTCTGTGTTAGTGAGTCATCACAAACCAAAGAACTCCATTCAAAAATGATTACTATGATATCAACGTGACAGTAATGATATATTCCAGACACAACTATTTTTGTCTCATATATTGGCAAAGACGATGTTTTTTTTGCCACATGGTCTCAACAATATTACACAGTTACTATCACTAATGTTTGGTTATTTTCGATCAATGAACGAGCAAAGTATGTACTTTTCTTCTTTATATCACTTATGTTTAGGAATATTCGCTTTCATGCAAATGATTCAGATGAATCTATAATTCTATGATTAACAAACATGATTCAAAAATTATTGATACGAAATTTGAATAAAAAAATTCTGGTTTATCTTTCTTTGGTTATAAATTAATTACTAGATACGAGACATGTACATACATCTATAAAGTAGGTAACAATGGTATTGTCTTTCACTTTGATTTATATTTCATATGAAATATTTCTACACACTTCGACAGTTTGAATTGAGAAAGAAAAAAAAATACATTTTTTAGTCATTTATCTCAGTCAACGAGCTGTTGATCATTTCAAAGTTCGTATAACTTGTCAAAAATATAATTGAAATTAATGATGATGAGACCATTGCATTCATTATAGAAACAGATTGCATATGTGTCTCGTTCGATACTTACGAATCAATGAAATCTTATCAATGAGACTTGATTGTAATTGCATTTAATTATTCAGTTCGATTGATGCATACATTTTCGTTTTTAAGTTTTAAGTTCAATTTGATTGTTGCTACTTAAATAGGTTTTATTAAATTCTATTTTAATTACATCTGACCGACAGTCATTTTCAAAATATGAAATTGAATCCAAAAATCAATGAAAAGATAACTAAAGATAATAAATTACGATTGCTATTTGATATGCCATATAGTTTTTTATTCCATGTTTGCCTTAAAACTTGACGAGCCACTTGACATTCACGTGCATGCCAGTGTTCACTACACATAATTAAAATTAATTCTTCTGGATCATCTTCACATGCATAATCAAAGCCTTTGTTTTGAACCAGTCTTTCTAACTCCAGCAGGCTCTTTTGACCGCATCTTTCTCTATTAAAATTAAACGAAATGCTGTATTTTTACTAGAATAAAAACTATTCAGTGAAACATACACAACTTCTGCATCAGGTGAATGTAAAACCAGAATGTTCACTTTTGTAACACGATATGTACCATTTTGTCGTAAATTGGGAAGTTCAAAAGAACGAAAATATGAATCGTTACGAAAGGCAGATTTTCCATTTGCTTGACTGCCATTTAAAACGACATATACTTCTCCAGCTGCTAATTGGGCAAACTTTATGAAAAGAAAAAAACTTAAGTAAAATGAATGCACATCTTTTTCTATATTACTGTTTTCGACGCTAATCCCCAAAAAGCATAATCAGCCCATTGATTATCTTTGCATCTATATGGACAGCTAACAAAATCGAAACCTTCTGTATCATTTTCTTTTCCACACCATGTAAGACCATTAACCATAGCTGCTGCAAGTGTATCTTCCAGTGTAACATAATTACGACCATTAGAACCATAAGTATGAGCAATAGCATAAGTACCACTCCAGAACATTGCCTAATATGATAAATAAGTCAATCTATAAAAACAAAATCAATTCTATTAATTATCTATTTACTCGATTGATGACATGTAGATCGCCGAGCGCTAGTTCAAAGTACCGCCCGTATGTACTCATATTCATATTACAATATGATTTATATCGAACAGCTGATTCGAAGGCTTCATAGAGTTCCGTGCAATTTTTCGCACGACTTTGTGAAAAAAATTAGATTTTATCATTACTATTTTGAAATGATAAGTATGTTTTTCTTACGATCCATTGGGTTGCACAAATCCATTCTTAATATATTGGTAGTGCGAACAGCGACCAATCATTATTTCTCTAAGACCACAAGTAGTTCCATTAGTTTTTGTATGTACCTCATTGCATGGATTATAAAATTTGTTCTTGGTAACTAATTTTGATTTCATCTTTCTTCTCGTAACATTTCTCAATGGTTTAAGACTCGGACGATTACTATGAGTTTTAACACTCAAATGAGGCACCTTTAAAGAAATATGTTGTGATTTATTTTCGATCAACGATGTAGTACAATCGATATTCATTAATACGAATAGAAGAAAGAAAATAACTAAACGAGTATAGATATTTTCCTAAATTTTATTATCATTTCAATATTATTCTTACCAAAAAATTGACAGTGAGACATTCTTGGATGATGATGGTTATAGATGCATTATTCCAATAAATAGACAGACATACATATCTATATATACAGTATGTAAAAAAATTATTCGGATACCCTACTACACGAATTTTATTGAGTGAATTTCTGAGCGAAAGAAATATATTGTTTAAACTCTAATTACATCATTCGATAGGTCATTATCTCTATTTTCTATTGCATAGAAAATTCTTTTTCCATAATGTAGTTTTCATAAAGTT